AATAAAATTTACATTTGAATCGGAAAATGAACAAGGAGAATTAGCTGTGATGTTAGATTGTAAAATAAAACGAATAGAAGAAGGTAAACTGCACACCAGCGTTTATAAAAAGCCAACGCATTCTAATAGATATTTAGACCTGTTTAATTCATCACCTCATCCGTTATCTGTAAAAGTAGGCTTAGTTAAATTTCTATCAAACCGAGCAGTAGCACTAAGTAGTACAAGAAAAGACCTAAATGATGAAATGAAACAGATAGAAGAGGCGTTGGTGTTAAATAACTATCCTATAAAATTCATTAGGAAGATCAATAGAGGCCAAAAGCAAAATAAAAATAATTGTGAAACTAGTACTGATAACATAAATAAGAGAGAATATAAGTCATCTACAGTTATACCATATAAGGAGGGGATATCTGAGGCCCTACGTAGGATTCTCAATAAAGCAGGAATTAGAGTGGTGGCATTCAAACCTACAAACTCACTCAGAGACAAACTCTGTAGGCTAAAAGACCCGGTAGACCCAATTAAACAAAATAATATAATTTACAAAATACCCTGCAATGACTGTGAGGTCAACTACATAGGTCAAACTAGTAGATCAGGGGTAGTCAGATTGTCAGAACATAAGAAATTAACTAAGGGCAGAATGGTTGACCACGAGAAGATAAGTAATTTAGAAACAAGCTCAGCGATTGTACTACATGCATTAACACACAATCACACAATAGGGTGGGAGAGGGTTAAAATTCTAAAAAGTAATCTGGGTGGTTGGAGAGAGGTTGATTACTGATTACAGCGCCATTCGGAAAATCCTTCAAAATAATATACAAGATTCGATCAAACCTATCAAAGGGAGTAAAATTAAGACATCTGGGCATAGCCGAGGCACTAGTCATCCAAAAGCTCGAACCCACGCTATGTATCCAAAAGAAATACGTTCAACTCTTGTCCCTGCCGTGGCCATCATAAACAGATGATTCTTCCAATAGTGACTATCCCACTGACTTTCTTATCCAAACTTCCTGTTTATTCATGTTATTTTTGAGTTTTTCTTAATCCCTATTTACACTACCATATTTTCATGTCCGAACTTCCTGTCTATTTTATCATTCTATTATTTCTACATATTTAATTGTTAACTGCATAAACAATTATTCGTCACATTAGTTATGATCCCACTAGATTTTTTTATCCAAACATCCTGTCTATTTTTGTTATTTCTACATTTCTAACCCCCAATTGCACAATATGTCAATCTTCTCAGTAATTATGATGCTACTTTGTCTGAGCTTTATCCGTCCCCCATCTGTTTATTATGGCATTTTAATTCCTAATTGTAATTTTATTAATCTGACCCTTGACCAGAAATTATTCTGGAACTTTCCTACCCATTTATTATAAATACACGAATGTACAGCCTAGTTGATGATTTTGTCGAAAAGAAAATTTTCTTCGCTGCAACTGTCTTTTTATTCCCTATGATTACTGAATCCTTGTTCATCGAGTCTACACCCAACACGTGCAATAGGAATGACTCATCACTCATATCGGAAATATGGAAAATACTACTACCAATCAAGTCAAGCGATGAAAAATAATGGAATTATATAAACGAAGTTAGAAAGTTGTGTGAGTAGTGCCTTGATATGATTATGAGTAGCAATGATAAATTGTGCTCGAAATGTGGTCATCAGTAAATAAATATTACTGTATAAAACTGTGTGAGACTTTATCAAAATAAATTTTACTCATAATGGAAGTATACTCTACCACAGTGCCCAAGTTCTATTCCTCTATCACTGAGGTGATTTTGACTAAAATATCCTAGTCAGCAAAGGACATCATAAAGTAAATTTATTTTGATAACATCATACACAGTGAGATACTGTATGATATATTTACTGAAGATATTTTGAACACAATTTTCGCTCTCATAATCATATCAAGGCAAACAGAACAACTCCTAACGAAGTTTATATAATCTCATCATTTCCTCCTATCATTTGATTTTATTGATAATAATATTTTTCCTTATCTCTAGTATTAGCATTGCATAATTCCCATAAAAAAAATAAGAGTGGAAATCAAAATGATAAAAATATTCAAGGGGCTAATTTGTAGAGATTTCATTTGTTTCAAGATTAGATCGTGGATTGATATCAGTGAGAGAATCATCCATTCTATAGTTTGGAAATCATTGGCAGCAAGCGCCCATTGGTGTTCGACAGCTGTTCAGTACTCCCCAGTTTGCAACGGTTCTCTAACTGATATTAATCCATGGGTAAACATGATAAGAATAATATGGCAAAGTTAAACTTTAAGCACCACTAACTACCAATCAGCGAGTGACCTCGAACGCACCAATCACGTGAAGGAGGCATTTTTGTGTATGGAATACATATATTTATGAAAGTGAATGCATAAAAACTGTAGAAAAGTGTTACAGAGGATACCTTCCTCTCACATGTGATAAAAATAGCTCTCAGTTTTAGGTTGGAGTATCAACAGAGTATAATTCCATTGTGGGTAAAATTTATTTTGATAAAGTCTCATAGTGTCATACAGTAATATTTACTGAGCAATAGATTGTGCTCGAAACGTTGTCATCAGTAAATATTACTGTATAACACCCTGAGACTTTATCAAAATAAATTTTGCTCACAATAGAATTATACTCTACTATAGTGCACAAGTTCTATTCTTACATCAACACAGCAGTTTAACCACACCCTATGCATGTAATTACTTAGGTCTTCTAACCCTGATCTTTTCTGAACCTAACCCTAACGTGAAAATATCCCTAAATTAACTGTAATCTAACTTGAACTAAGCCTAATATCGCCTTTAATAGGTTAACCTAACCCTAACTTGTCCTCGGCCTAAACTGTAACTTAATCTTTCCAAAACCTAAGGTGAAACTTCCCAGATATCCCATTTAATAGCATAACACTTCGATGAGCATATTTTATTGATGATGACAACATTATTTGCCAGGTTTCACTAACTTGCTCAGTGAGCGTTTCAAGGTCATTAGTGCGGTTGCACTCCATTGGTAGTTAGTGGTGCTTAAAGTTTAACTTGGCCAATGATATATATATATATATATATAATATGGAATTCAGAGGTTTTGTAGTATTGTCATGTATAAAAAGGGAGCACATACGCTCTACGTAGAATTAGGATGGCATTTAAACCTACAAACTCACTGAGGAACAAGCTTTTTACGCCAAAGGACTCTGTTGACTCAATTCGATAAAATAATGTAATCTATAAAAATACTTTGTAATGACTATGAGGTTAGCTACATAGGTTAGACTAGTTGATCGAGGGTAGCGCCAGATTATCAGAACATAAGAAAGAATTCAGCCAAGTTTAAAATGATTCCCACCACGAAGATCAATATTTTAGAGAAAAACTCATAAATTGTAATGCGTACATAAACACACAAGCACACAAAGTTTGGTACAGAGTTATAATTCTAAAATGTAATATAATTAGGTTGATGGAAAGATTGGTCACTGAATCTTTGTTCATCGAATCTAAACCTAACATGTGTAATAGAAAATGACATAACACGCCTTGATATGATTATGAGCAATAAGGTGTTCTCGAAATTTCATCATACTGTCTCACTGTGTCACTGATTTTATCAAATAAATTTACCCCATGGTGGAATTATTCTTTACCACAGTGTCAAGATCTACTCTCATATGCCTTCCAATCAGCAAGTTACACCACGCTGCGTGGTTAAGTAAAGGACTAACAAAATCTATTCGTAGTGCTATTCTATCTCATCTCGTGAATACAGAACACATGATTGATGTCATCGTGGCGGCTTTCAAAGTCATTTACCGCATACCAACAAATCTTAACTTCACCTTAACAGTTCGTTTACTAAATATTGCTGAGACCGTTAGGATCCACATTTCGAAGACTAATTTATGTGTCCAAAAGAAGCTAGTTCAGACATTTTCCTTACCCAGCTGGCCATCTAGATTTGAATGATTCTCAATTTTTTTTTAAATTTTTTAAATTTTAGCTGATATTCTATTTGCTACTATATCTTTATTATTATCATTATAATTTAAGCATATTTAATGAATTTTAATTCCATAGTGATCCTTCTTTACAAATCGATATTATTTAAAAAACACTAATATTGTTATTGACTACTATTCTAGAATATTTTGTGTATATAGGCACATATATATATATAATTGTAGAGCCAGAAGAGGAAATTATCGAAAAGGATATTTTTTGCTCAATTATTTTTGTGTTTTATGAAAGCAAATATTATGAAGTTGAAAGAAGTCGTACACAATGAAATGTAAGAATTCTTCGACATTCGCAGTTGTAGATTTATAAAAGTATACAAAAATAGCTTTATAGTGATTAGTAATCAATGCTATGAGTCAGTCAGTCTTTAGTGTTGGTTTTCACCGGTCAGGTTTGACTAATCGTCAGGTGTCAGCCTGAAATAACACATTGATGATGTCTGTGACTGCGGCACTGGGTGATATAGGTTCGAATCTCAGGTAGGGAACATTCTTTCCCTCAAGGATACAGATACTTCTTGCTGAAAACTACCAATAAGCATGGAACTTAGGTCAGGAAGAGCTTCTTGCTGATTGCCTTTAACCATGAAATAACAAAAATGAGTTTGTCACACAGGACTGAAGATAATGCGAGACTGTAATTAGATTTTAAGTGAGGTCAAACATCAGTGGTTGAAATATCTAAATTTATTTGTAACTGATGAATCTCATCAGAGACGAAACCATATCCTAACTTGACGCTGATCAGCTATCATCGAAATGATACCAACTAAATACAGTGATAGCGATAGACTTAACTTAAGCCATAAGTTTAACCTCGTAGTCACAAGGGTTTGAGCACCACTTGACGGTATTCTATGGCATAAGGGTAACATAAAATTTTGATTATTCATGATATTATCAGTAGTATAACTTCAACAAAACAAAAAGTGGATCACTTACTTTCCTACTAATCCATTTTCTTTCGGCACTCCAGTAACTTGATTTGTTGAATTACGTGGTATACTACCTGTACCTGTACCTATCTCTGTCGTCTCCAATGATGGACCGCTAGTACCAGTAGTAGTACCACTACTACCAATATTTGTAGTATTGATTTTATTCAATGTAGGTATACACCCAAGTACAACTGCTGCTGTTGGTTGATTCTGTTCTAAGGATTTTTGTTGACGTTTCTTTTGTTGTTCAAATATAGCTGGGTAGAATTATAAGGAAAAAAACAGAAGAGAGAATAACGATTTAAAGTGAAATTTAACAAAACAAAATGTATATAGTTCGTGCATTTATTCCCCTTGATGAATTTAAATAAAGCAAGAACAACAGCGGTTTGTGCTGAATAATATGGTACTATCATTTATTTCGTCGGCTTCTCATCAGCTGCTTACAGCCTAAATAAATTGTGAGGTTTACGTACAGAATCGATAGATATCCCTCTGATGTGAACTCCAACTGCATATACAAATTTACATGCATCTGCGGGAGCAGTTACATTGGAAGGACAGAAAGAAGGGCATATCTACGATTTTCTGAACATGTACCAAAAAGCTTACGTCTAAAGGGAACAAATTCTTTAAACAGTGCCATCGCCAGGCATCTCCTCGACACGGGTCATGAGGTGGAAATCGAGAAATCCTTTAAAATTATCAATAGACAAAGGAGCTCCATTCTCCTCAAGTTTGCCGAAGCAATTTCTATCAAACGCTTCAAACCAGATTTATGTGTTCAGAAAGAAGCAGTTATTAGTCTTTCCTTGCCATGGTAACTGGATGTCTTTATTCTCTAATCTGATTACGTAATCTTTGTCTTTAACCTCACCCCTCCTTTTTTATTTTTTATTTTTTAAGATCTGTAATATTGCTTGTCTCTTGTTTCTATGACGTGATTTGAACTCAGTACATCGTTACAAAATTTATTAGTTACTCATCATCTTACTCACCTCTCGTCTTTATTACGTAACCCTTTTACCGTTGTATGCATACATCTATTTTGTTTAAGCTTGAACTGCCTGTGAAAAAACTATATAAGCGCAATTTTCTGAGCACCGTTCACTTACTGTGGAACCTTCTGTCAACTGACAACATGTAAAATTTGCAAGTATGTAAAAAACTTTTCTGTACGTAAACCTCACAATTTATTTAGGCTGTAAGCAGCTGATGAGAAGCCGACGAAATAAATGATGGTACCATATTATTTTGCACAAACCGCTGTTGTTCTTGCATATAGTTCAAGTTTGTTCATGAACTGATTCCAGTTAAACAAAACCACCTAGGAGTACTGGAAAGTTGTTGCGTCCTAGCCCTAGACTCTTCAGTAGTACGCAACCATGCTCCCAATAAGCACCGGACTGTGGACCATATGGTTATGAGGCAAGCCCTATAACTATTCGATCACTGGAATCCAAGTCAGTTGGCAAGCTTCCTACCGGATTTATCGCATCATGTTATGGTAAGTACTTCTGAAGTCGTTTCTAGTCTTCTAAAATTGTGAACGAATCGAGTGGTGTTAGAGTCATTGTACGCGATTCGATACGCCGGGGAGGGAGAGAGTGCCAGAGTGACATTAGGCAACCAACATCCTGAGGACCAAACCAGTGGTGGTAATGTCGACAGAGAGCGAATGAGTTCCGATCACTGAGGAAGATCCTACACGCCGGAGAGGCGTACTGGCGTGATGTAGTATGCTTGTTGTGTGTTGGGGCTTTTTTGTCTTGTTTTCCATTTTAGCCTAGTCCCGGTTGGCCCAGGTTCCCGCGTTGGCAGTTCAGTTAAAGGTTATCGCCATGATGGAAAAAAGGGATGGACCCTTTTTGCCGGAGAGTGTAAAGGAATGTGAACATTGAACGTTGGTTCATTGACCTTGGTCTCCATTGGTGGGCAACTCGAAGGCGCGAATGATTCAATCGTGTACAAGTTGGAAGAAGACGAAAGAATACGAATAAAAGTACAGTAGATTCCTTGTAAAACATTTGTTTATAGACTCTGTATGAAATATCGAATTTAACTGCCGAACAATACCAGTTTTTATTGGTCCTTGTGTTTTGGCGTTAAAGTCGATAATCGTACCTAGTAATTATCGATTCGGAGCGTCTTCGCAAATAATAGGAACTTAGGGTTAAGTTCCTTGACAGTGGAAAATGTGGAAAAAATGTGCCTTGGTGGTCGTGGGTTCGATTCCCAGCCGACGTACCTTGAAGAGTCACCTAGTTTAATAACCGATGGGAAAGAGAGAAGATTGTGTATGGCGTTAGTAACCCCATGTCTTGAAAACAACAACACCACAGCGACTGAAATTTCAAAATCCAAGCTTGAAGACCCATGTTCCATTGTGATTGCAAAGAAATGAAAAACATAATTGTAGGAAATGGCAAACTACAAGTTTAAATTTTCTATACGACTGATGGCGATTCCTCAATTGAAAGATGAAGTACCTAGACTAGCCACTTCTAATTGTATCTACCAATTCAACTGCGTTTGTGGTGGAGCGAGTTATATTCGCCGTTGCTCTAGGTACTTGATTTTTCCTGCTCTAGAGCATCTTCCAGTGTGGCTTAATAAAGGTGTAGTAAAATCCATCAACAGTTTGATATTAGACCACCTGGTCCACACTGACCGGCCACAAAGCGAGCATTGAAGAATCCTTTTCTATCGTCTACCCGGTACCAAATAATAAACAGCAGATGCTATCGTGCTCTGTGTTCAAAAGAAGCAAGTTCAACCAGCCACTACCACTGCCCTGGCCTTCAGTGGAGACTGTAAATAATTGAATTTGTAATATTTAACTGATGGATGGTGACTAGCAGTGGAATCCAGGATAACGCGCGTTTCGTCCTATTTGGGACTCATCAAGTGGATGTGCCTTCATTTCTCAGTGAGTGGTGCCGATGTTCCCACAGAGGCTCAAACCCAGTGACCATAGTTTCAAACGCCAAAGCGTTATCTACTAGGCCACTTGGGCCACGACAGCCAGCCACCTCTAGTGCAACGGGTCATATTAATTCAGTTGAATTTTAGATTTTCCCGTCGATTGATTGGACCGAAGTGCTTGGTCTCAGGTTGACATGTCGACTTCTTCTACAGATGCTTCGATGATGTCTGGGCATGTAATTAGAAGTTAATTGGTGGATGGTGGCTACCAGACATCAAGGAAGCATCTGCACATGAAGCCGACATGTCAACGTGAAACCGGGCACTTAGGTCCAATGAACCGACGGGAAAATCTAAAATTAAATTAAATTTGTAATATTATTTTCCCTAATTTCTCTGAAATTCAGTGTGTAGTGTTATGTTGATGCTACTGAACTGTAATCCATTGATATTACTATTATTATTGATTCGATGTTATTTAAACAACATTATTGTTATTAATAACACTAATTCCTTCACTTTTATGTATATAGAACTGTAGCACCTGATGAAGAGCAGGTTATCGAAAGGAATATTCTTTGTTCAGTAACCATTCTTTTGATGAATTGTTATGTAGATAGGGAGTTACTTGACTACGTCCTGTTTGTTACTGAATGCCAGGGGATGTATACGGATCCGGCTACCTGACAAGACACTGGAACGACTGAATGTATATATATCACTTCATTATACAACTAGTCAACATTAGAGACGACAGATAAGAGAAAATTTCAATAAAATGATTCATCTTACTATTTACTCACCTTGATGTACTTCAGGAGGACATGTACATATCAATCCTGATCCTTGTACATGTTCCACACGTGTAGAATGTCGTGGTAGAGTATTTGAATCAATCCCACTACCAGTGATAATGCCAACAGCAGATGCACCACAATTTACAACACCCAACTGAGCATTATGCTTAGCTAGTGAACTAGCTGTCATTTGATTACGAGACAATGTATTATCACTTTGTACATGTTGTTGTTGCTGTTGTGAAGCAATGTTGGACGGTGAACTACTTGTATGACCTTGTTGTGCTTGTTGTTGTTGTTGAGGATATTGAATAAACATTAAACCAGATGGTGTTTGAATAATCTGTTGTCTTGGTGATGCACTCGAATCTATTTGAATAGTTTGATGATTTAATTTAAGTTGTCTGATCAAATCATTTGTAGCTAATGCATAATAAACTGTTTGAGGTTGTTGTTGTTGTTGTTGTGAATGTGAATGTGTTTCTTCACTTTGTGTACTGATTGTTGTTTTACATGGTATCAATGTAGCATGATTACCAATAATAGTCGGTGTACCGGTGCCACTATTGACTGTTGATGGTGTTGTATTTGTTATTGTAGTTGTAAGTGGTGATGCTGTGGCGGCAACAGTTGTCGACGATAGTGTATGCGGAGAAGTAGACATTGAATGGAGTTTAACTGTTGAATAAATTTAAAAAAAAGAAGAAAACGGAATGTGAATTTTGATTACCATGGGGATAAATTATGTCATCAACACAAGAGTTAAATTAATCCGCTTTGCAATGCAACTAGTTAGATAGTGACTTACAGTGAAGTCTTTTGAAGAGGGGTGTTGCAATCTGTACATCTGGATTTCTTCAGATGTTTGATCTTTCACGATATTGTATAACGTGTTTAAAGAAATGACATAATCATATCAGATGGTAAGTTTAAGTGTTTTAAAGAAGTTTTATCAAGTTACTAGTGTCCAATCAAAATACCCACTACAGTCCTACAGGAGGTCAATCGCGAGCCCAAATAGCTCAGTGGTAACGTCTCCGACCACTGACAGCACTGGGTGACGCGGGTTCGAATCTCAGAAGGGACATGAGTTCCTTCAAGGTTGCAGATACGCTTTGCTGACTGGTGAGTGCCAACTAGCACGAAACCTAGGTCAGGCAAGACTTCCTGCCGATTGCCTCCAACTATCTAATATCATCAAATTTTTATCAGTCTTTTTACACAGCTGAGATATCTGTTGTGGTGTTTGCTATACTCTGTGCCAAAACACCTCTTGATAGCTTTTATCCTCTGCTATATATCTGTTTACAGATGTACCTGTACCTCCAGTGACCGAGCGGGCTTCCACTCGAATGCAACAGCTATTGTTTTCAATACCAAAGTGTTCCTTATTAGGCTACTGAGTCACAACAGTAATAAACTCTGGAACAAATTGCTAATATAACGCTACACCAACAGAGACGGATCGGTTCTATTCTCACAGACTGACTGTATGGAATTGCAACTACGAATAAGTATCCCAAACTAATCCTCTTTCGCTCAGTCTCATTAGAATAAATGCAAAAGTTGTAGTAGTCTTTAAGGGGAATACGGGACCTTGAATTAAGGCCATCCTGAAAGAAATCAATCATTACAGATTATTCCCTTAGGCTGTGAATGATACATTTCCGCTTCACAGCATCTTCTTCATTTCATCCTCTAAAGCTCAACTCGCCATTTCCTATTCGCATTCCACTTGAGGACCTGACTAGTGATGTCACTCAATAGTCTTCTCAGCGTATTTCCAATCCATCTCCATTCTCTATTGCATATCTTTTTGGCTAATAGGTTGCTGGTTATTTAATTAAATTTAGATTTTCCGATCGATTGATTGGACCGGAGTGTTCAGTCTCAGGTTGACATGTCGGCTCCTTGTGCAGATGCTTCGACGATTTCTGGTCATATAACTCTTAGGGAAAGTCGTCTAGTGGATAACGCTTTGACATTTGAGACTATGGGTAATGGGTTCGAGCCCCAGTGGGAACACTATCACTCATTGGAGAATGCACGTACATCCAGGTGACGAGTCCCAAGTAGGACGAAGTGCACACCAACCAAATGACTTTAGCATGTTGAACAGTTTACTACCTTTCAGAGTTCTCTATCGCTAATCTTTTCTGACCAGCCATATAATCTTCAGCATGGAGCCAGTGAAGTGAGCAACTGTTGAAAAAAGTCTATTTAGCCTGTTGGAACTGCTTTTCTTAATGCCCTTACGAAGTATGTGAACTATGTTGATTCACTAAATAGTTTGACATTAGCTTTGAAAATCCAAATTTTGTTCTTTACGCTAAAGGAAGCAAATTTCCATATTGATTTCATATTAGTGAATGTCTAATTTATGGTAATATCAAGATTAAGTAAACATTTCATAGAAAGTGAGAATTACTCACAATGTACATTTGTGATCAGTTCAAGATATGTATACCAATCTGTGCAATCTTTGAAATGCTCTAAATATACTCTGGCGGAAACAGACTGTATAGAGAACTAGAGTATATTGGTATCAGTGGTTGAATGACAGTATGCTTGATAACCACCCACTTGGTTCAAGTTTGATTCTTGACCGGCGTACTCATTCCTCGTATAGAAAAGTGGTAAAACCCCGGAAAGAAGGGAAGGTTAAATATGAGACTGTCAACCCTCCCCCCTCACCCTACAAAACAACCTTAATTGTAACTTCAAAGCTTTCAACCCTATATTCCAGTCGAATTCAGGCAGATATTACATTAATTGGTGGATGGTGACTAGCAGTGGAATCCAGGATAACGCACATTTCGTCCTACTTGGGACTTGTCAGCTGGATGTACCTGCATTCCCCAGCCAGTGAGTGATGATGTTCCCACCGAGGCTTGAACCCAGTGCCCATAGTTTCAAACGCCAAAACGTTGTCCACTAGACCACTTGGGCCACGACAGCCACCTCTTGTGCAACGGGTCATATTAACTATTTAATTGAATTTTAGATTTTTTCCCGTCGATTGATTGGACCGAAGTGCTCGGTCTCAGGTTGACATATCGGCTTCTTGTGCAGATGCTTCGATGATGTCTGGGCATGTAATTAGAAGTGAATTGGTGGATGGTGACTAGCAGTCGAATCCAGATATTACATTAGCTTAAGAGGTTATTATTGTAAGGGGTTGTCTAGACAAATTTCATCAATATATATGTGTATACAAGATTCCTACAGCGATATAAGTGCATGCTTATGTATACTGGATGACACCATTAAAAATGTCAACCGGATTATACTTTTCCTTAAAATTACGCGTTTAGTTCCTTCGCTTTTCTTCCAACCTCTCATTCCACTACTGATGATCTATATTCCTTTGCTTACATATCTGTTTTTGTTCTCTCAGAGGAATAATAACTTGAAGTGTTTTACTTGTTATGTCATGAGGTAACACTTCAGTTCTTTTTTGTTTCTTGTTAGTAATGATATTTAAGAATAGACAGTACTTTTGTTATTGTCCAGAATATTTTGACTATGCCTGATTTAACTGTTTATTTTTGCATCGAGTTATCACACTTTATTGGCTATGAAAACATTTAACTTTCGAATTCATTTTGTTTACACTAGTCTGCTCTATTTTGTCTCCTTATTATTGTTATTATTGATAATTGTTATCATTTAAGATTCTTTTCAACTAGTTCCTCATTACATCGGCTGGCTGTACACTCATATATAGTTGTTTATTTTACATCAAAACTGTTTACCAATCCAGTGGTTATTTTGGTTAATCAGTTTTAGGTATAAGGGGACGGGGGGGTTATATTAAGAGGTTGGAAGTCAACAAAACAATTAACTAATACAAGTTTGCCCACGGATTGATATCAGTTAGAGAACCATTGAAAACCGGCCACAGGGAGTACTGGACAGCCAGCTGTTTTATCCTAGTTTGGAATTGATCGGCAGTACGCACCCAGTCAAACTCGTAAAACACAAATCTAATCCTTACAAACCAACTAGAGAAAATAAATCTGATGCTCGCTAGTGGTCGACTTGCTACAGGATGGACATTCCTGGAGTTCTAGTGAGAAATCGTGACCAGTGACGTCTACCCAGTCAAGAGTGAGGATGGATGTCCTACCGACGACAATGATCGGGGTCGCGCCAAATCACGAATTAATAGAAGTTAGAATTCATGCACTGGCCAGTGAATCGGGTCCCAGTGGCTGAGTGGTCTACGAGCTTGCCGTGTAACCGGAAGCTGCTGGGTTCGAACCCTGCTAATGGGTGCGTAATGTCAATGATTCCCAAAAATCTAGGATGAAACAACTCTCCAGTACTCCCTGGTTTTTAATGGTTCTCTAACTGATATCAAACAATCCGTGGTCAAACTCGTAAAAACAAATCTAATCCTTACAAACCAACTCTTGAAAATTAACTAATAAATGTTGGTAACAATATATCTAAGATTTGAAGGAGGGTTGAAGCTTAATCTTGGTTTAGCAAAGGTTCCAATAAAGCTATATTCAGTTCAATACTAGATTATCTCGTCGATACTGGCTGGACATCAAGTCGACTCACTTTAACAAAGCTTTTAAATTTATTTATCGTATATCACCCAACCTCTCGCATGGTCTACGATTATGACTTTTATACACAGCAGAGGCAATCGGAATTCATCTGAACAGGAAAAATATGCGTGTATTCAAAAGAAATTTGTACAGCCCGTTTCTTTGCCATGGTCAACTACATAATATGTATTAAGTTTTTAAAAAGAACTTTTCCCTCCCTGTTAACCCTCTTTTGACTTTGTTATTTTATTATGATTACAATTGTAGCATCAGAGATAGGCCTTCAGGTGAACATAGAGAAAACAGAGGTGATAAAGATTCCTGGCCAACAGCGACAGCAACAACAAAAACAGACAACAATCAGCATAAATGGGAGAAATCTGGAAGAAGCAACCTCCCTTACCTACCTGGGAAGCATCGTTTCAACTACAGGCGACGGAACTGACGAGGATATCAAAGCAAGAATCGGGAAAACAAGACAAGCTTTCATTTCTCTCAAGTCTGTGTGGAGGTCAACAGCACTCAGCATCACGGTGCACAGTGGTTAGACTCTCGCCGACCATGCATATGGTCCGGGGTCCGATCCCCTGCCGACACACACCGACTATGTGCTAAAAATCGATTACATCTGAAATTGCATACCTGTAAAAATACGGTGAAAAATAAGATCCGGATTTTCAACCCCAATGTGAAGTCAGTGCTACTCCCTATACGGATCAGAGACTTGGCGCGTCATGAAGAGCACTTCGAACAAACTACAGACCTTCATCAACAGCTGTCTTCGCTCAATACTCAAGATCAGATGGCCAGCCAGAAACGATCAGCAACAGGGATCTCTGGGAGCGAACCAACCAGGAACCGATTGTGCAACAAATATGCAGGAAGAAATCGAGGTGGATTGGCCATACTCTGAGAAAGCCATCAAGTGCCATCACATGCCAGGCTATTGCTCGAGTGGAACCCGGATGGGAAGCGGCGAGTTAGTTGGTCGTCAGTGCGACAGTGACATGGAGGAGGTCATGTGAAGAGGAGATGAAAGCATGTGGGCAGACATGGAGCCAGGTGAAAACGTTGGTGGAGAACCGAACGCAATGGAGATGTGTGGCTGAAGCCCTATGT